TTCCAGTTTGATGACAGCAAGAGAACGAGAGGTAACCGACTTAAGTTGCGCAAACCGCAGGTGCGGCTCAGGTCGAGACAGGAATTCTTTACTTGCAGAGTGGTGAACGCGTGGAATGCGTTAGATGACGAAGTAGTGGCTGCCCCTTCTGTGACTATCTTTAAGAAGAAACTAGATGCTTTCATGGACAGGCAAAAAGGTGGGGGGCAATGTTGACGTAGGTACTAGACAGTAAGCAACTAGGATAGTAAAAAAAAAAAAACCAAAACAAAAACACAAAAATATTTAGCTTTAAGAGGGTTAGGCCTACCCTAAAATTAAGGAACGCTCGACCTCGACACGTGATATCGAAATGGGCGAAATCGCCTCTTGATATCACTAACTCTCCTGCCTCCTGACTCCTGACTAAGACAATAAGAAATCTCTGGAATTCGTTTTCTTATAATCAATTCCTTTACATGCATACCGATTTTTGTTAAAATCGAAGATGGTTGAGCTCATCCTCTGGTCGATTTGGTGTGGAGTGACCCAAGAGTCAGGAAATGTTACGCTAAGTATGACCCATTTTCGGTCGTTCCTTCCGAAGTATCTTTCGTCCCACACTAATATTATACCAAATCAAATTGCTCAGGAGGAGCAGACAAATCGATTGATACCATATACGGCACCAAAAAAAATGTAGGTGACTTTTGAATCACCCTGTATATTTTAGAGTGTTTGTGTGTCTGCCTGTCTGTCTTTTATACACGGCCACACCTCTGATCCGACCTAACTTTGCATGGCTTCCTCATTTTGTCCGGGGATTGTCATAGGCTGGGTGGCGTTTCAAAATTCGGACCCCCTAGGGCAGGGCCGGCCCAAGACCAAATGACGCCCCAGGCGAGGAGCGTCTTGATTGATGAAAATTGATATTTTGTGTATCGATAGAGGACAAATGTTAAATGTCACTAAAATTCTAATGGAAATGATAAAATTAGCTTACTTAGGACGAAACTTACGGGCACTTGAGTGATCGCCACTGGATCATTAATCGGAACTTTTTCACAATTCAAATCGCTGTGTCTCAAAAAAGTGCTTGATCTCCGGAGCTGAAATTCGGTATAGATTAGTTTCTCAGCAGAAGCTACTACAGCTACAAGCTTACCAAGTTTCATCGAAAGCAGAGGGGATCAGACCTGCTCCTGTTGATTTCATATGAAACGACCAATTATTTATTTTCCCGTCATTTCAAGTGATGGCCAGCTCACACCTCCACGTTTCTCTCTTTGTTCTGTTCAATTTTATTCCCATCTTTTCGGTGGGATTCCACATCTTGCATCCATGTCATTGCAGATTGGACATAGGTGGAATATCTTTTGCCTCGGGCAGATGGTCGCCTTACTCTTCGTGATGTTGTCGACTTCCCAAACGCTCTCTAGCCAGTTTTCCTCTTCACCTCTTTCGAATGATCGGAGTCATTTGCAACGGTTGCACCGAAATGGATACCGGTATACCGATTCACAAATTCCATTACTGTAGGTTTCTTTGGCGCTAGATTGTAATCGAACGTAACTCTCTGGTTTTCTTCACGCTCATCTTCAGACCCACTAACACACATTTGGCTCTCAGTTCTAACATTTCTTCGAGCTGTTCTTTAGACAAGAGAACAACTTAATTCACAAATCTTAGATTTGTACGATTTTCTCCATTCATTGACGCCTTTCTTCTCCAACCGCGAGCTCCTGATTATTTTTTTTATGAGCAGCCTGTGAAGAGCGGGAGAAATCGCGTCTTCCTGCCTTTTTTTTCGTGTTTACCTTTTCGCTGTCCTCGTACAAGCGGACGACAACTCAGCTTTTGTTGTAGTTTTTCTTGAGCAAATGGATATACAGTATATCTTGGTTTTCTCACATGGGCTGGAATTTTCACAGAATCAAAGGCTTTCTACAGGCAACAAGAGCCTGACTACCGGTGGAATCTGGTGATATCATTTAACATGAACGGCCTGACATCATGAAGGTAAAAGATAGTTGGGAAACCACTCCTAAAAATCAGCCTTTACTGCCTTTACGAGGTATGTTATATTATTACGGGAGCTGCTCAAAAAGTTGTTGAAATATTCCCAGAAATTAGGCTAAAGACGCTTGAATTTGATTAATGATAATTGCAACAGTTACTATCGACAAATCGATAATTGATAATTGCAACAGTTACTTGCTATCGATAATTGCAACAGTTACTTGCTTGATAAGCATTGGTTGATTTCATATTCTACTGGTACATTAACATCTGTATTAAAAATTTTTTAACTGAGTGATCTTGACCTGACTATTCCAAATGGCAGGAAATGTTTAAATTTAGCATCGATCTATCATGTTTGCAATGTGGAAGCCAGGTAAGACAGAGGAGATCCATGAGGATTTCATGCCAGTTAGATGATGCTCCTTCGTATAGGAGTGTGGTATTCAAATTGTGCTCTTTTAAATACGGCAGCCAAGACCTGCTAGGTGACTCCCTGATCTGGACGACCAGAAAAGGTCCACAACTGACGTTGGTCCAAAGGGTCCGCGTTGCAATTAATAGAAGACCGCAGTGACCATGCCCGAAATTGCCGAATCTGTTACATCAGAGGAGTGGTTTTGAAATTATGCATGAACACCTACCACTGAAAAAAAGTGTTGTAAGTGGGTACCATTTGCTCTCACCCTGGAAACTGAAACGGCATCAGGAATAAATGGCGAAATAAGTCCTTAATCTGCTTGAATCCACTTGCCTCTATCACTATTGTGACGTCGTCACAGCTGGTGAACGATTGAAAAGGTAATGACTTATTCCGGTGATATTTATTCTCGTCACTAGATGGTGCTCTAGTAGAGAATATGCCTGCGTACTTTTTGATGGTCGAAGTCACGTTTTAATAAAGTTATTGAACAAGATTGTTGAAACTGCTGGTAAGTTGAAATTAGTAATATGAAATCAAGAAAAGCGGATGTTACCATGATCTAACTGACCTGATGAAAACCATCAGTAGCGTAGGCAGGAAATCAGAAAGGGGAGGGGGGGGGGGGTTGAGGCCAGGTTGACACCCCAATCCTACGCCTAGCTCCATTACTCAGAATTTATCTTTTCTAAGAAATTATGGTCTTGAATCTTGGATCTGTGGACAGACATCAGACTTTCCTCAATGGGGCATAGCTAAAACTGGAATTCCCAAGAAAGGTAGAAATATGCTTGTCAATGTCACTGACTGGGAAGACCAAAGGGGGGAAAGGGAGTTCTAACCCCTTAAACCCCCCCTTCCCTACGCCACTGACGGGCATGAGTTCACAATGTGATCCATGGTTTATGACATGTAGCCACATTTACATCTCGGAGAATCTTTGATGCGCCATTTACACATAAGCGTCCGCATCTTCCTTCTGATGTTCTGATGCGGCTGATGACTGACCATTGGCGTCGCTGGAGGGAAAAATATAGGAGGTTCGGTGGTGGGGTCCTGGACCAGATTCTTGTTTTTAACATTGGCCTCTGCCCACGCCCGTTGCCAACTTTCTCCCGGCCGCGGCGTGATGTTCGATACAAGGAGAGATTCCTCTTCGGTCCAGAAGGGCTAGTGGCATGGACTTCAGATCTTCGCGAATCGGAAGCAATGGTTGGATGATGACCTTCCGGTACTCTCGCAACGTTGCCGCTTCTCTTCGTATCTTTGGAGGATGGATGTGCGAGAGTACGGGGAACCAGGCTACAGAGGTTGTCTTTAGGGTGCCTGAGATGGTACGCAAGGCGGCGTTGGCTGGACGTCGACCATATCAGTGTGGGCGTTCCATGCCCAGACGGGAGCACAGTTCTCAGCCGTTGAATACACGAGGGCAAGGGCACTGTCTGTAAGGTGTGAGCGTCACATCCCCAGGTGGTACCGGTGTCGTATGATATTTTTCCCCACCTCCGAGGAACTTCGCCTCGTTCCTCGGCGGCTATTTCTTCCGTGCCTTTTGCGCCTCCATCTGCTTCGCTAACGTCTAAGCCAGTGTCGACTCCTCGGGGTGATCTTGAAAGCCACATCAAAGATTCCAGGCAACGGAGGTAAAAGGCAAAGGAAGGGCAGCTGACATGAAGGCAGGGAGGAAGAAACATCGTCCTCTGCAGGAGGATGTTCTGCTATGATATCGTTTGGTCAGTTTCTGACAGTAAAGATTATATTCTCTTTCGGCAATCGACAAACTTACAATTCTACTTTTTAAAACGAACTCCCTTCATTTCCATTAAGGGAGGTGGGGAAAAATATTACGGGGGGAAAAATATCATACGATACCGGCCCGTTTGCGGATAATGTTGGTGCAGGTTCAATGACTCTTGTGCAACGTGAATTTCGAAGACATTTCAAAGTTCGCAACGCTCCTGATGCCAAAATCATACGAAACACACGTCAGAAAATTTGAGAGAGAGATAATCTTTCAATGTGATGAGACTTCGCCTCATTGCGCACTCAACGTGCGACAGCTCTCAAATCGTCACTCCCCTGACCGATCGTTTGGGAGGCGCGGCCCAACTTCCAAGGCTCCTCGGTCACCTTATCTGACAAGGAGTTTTTGGTTAACAAAGTTCCCTATTTTAGGACATGCTCCATTTTCCTGTGAAGAGGATCACCATATTTTCTTGATCCTGGAATACATTTCTGTGGAATCACTGTGGGAGTGTCTTGTGAAATACTTGTAGGGTAGTCATCCAACTCCTTGAGAAGAGTGGAGTTTCAATTCTAAAAATTTTGCTGCTACTCTGAAAATTCACAGCATATTTGAATTTCTGCATGATTTGTCTCAGTTATATTTTAAATGCAATTTTTCAAGAAAAGGAACCATCACTTACTTAAGGAAAGGCCAGTATAATGGAATTATTGGCCCACTCATCTAACATTAGAGTATTCCAGTTTTCCCTCTTGATATTGATGTACAAAGTTATAATCATAAGAGCTGAATGGGCAAACTGAAGTTTAAAGTAAATCGTTGCAGCTCTCCATTATCTATTTAAGTAATCCAGAAAGGCTCACTGGATTCCATGATAGTGTACAGATCCTCAAAATGCTCATAATAGAAGTGTAACAGCTATACACTTTACTACTGAGCACATCACATATCAATATGCCCTCATCAGGAATATTTAATCTCTGGGTTTGAGAATGTCTTAATTAAGACCTGTTTTCTTAGTTTTGCAGTTCATAGTGACTGATGTTTAGAGCATATGAGTGAGGTGCTGGAGCTACATGAGGAGTGATCATCTAATGATTCCTGCTCTAAGAGCAAAATGTGGTTTCTTTGGTTGTGGTTCATGTTGACATTCTGATAATAAAAATAAAATGAGGAGTAATTGTCTAAAATGGCTAAATTTCTTGTGTTGGAGAACTTTTTGGTTGGATTGTATTGCTTGTGAATCCCTACAAGGGGAGGAGTCATTGCAAAAAGCCACAGAGAATAGACCTCACCAAATCTATGTTTAATCCACAGAGATAATATTCCCATTTTCATGTGGAGTCTACATATACTCTCAATGTTTACTCAATGTTTCCAAGTCGATACATCTACATATATTTAACATCCAATGTGCAACAGCAGACATGTCAAGTCAAAAATGTTAAAGCCTGAGTCCAAGTGACAGAAAAAGACACTTGTGTCACTGTTTGCATAGAAGACTCAGTGGGTCCATAACAACATACTTCTAAGATTTCCAAAATTAGTGCTCAATTATAGACATAAAGAGAAGTCCCAAGGAGGCAGAATGAATTTGTTCAGGCTTTCTTTATTCAAGAATTGCCATAAGTTGTACAATGACCTGACTTGTGCATGGAGCTTCAAAAAATTCAAGAGCTCTCAGATGCATCATGGATAGCCCTTGGGCACAATCCATGAGTCAGTGTCAAGGAGTTGAGTACTACAGATGAACAAAAAGACCAAAAGGCAACTGGGGAAAGCAAAAAATATAAATCAGGAAAGGTGGAATGAATGGAACCCACAAATGCTAGGCATTAATAACTAATAAACTAAAAAAAAAAGAAGAAAATTATTGCTATAACATGTTCAGACCATCCAAAAATCCCACACAACAAAAAAATAAAAAAAAACACTCAAAACACAGCATTGCATATGTGTATATATATATATTTACGCATACATACACAATGCTGTGTTTTGCAGAATATATATATATATATATATATGCTGAGGAGGTGTAACACATGGGATGGTGATCATAACTTGACTCTGGCAAGGAAGGGATGGGTGAAGGAGGCAATATAGAGGTATCCATGCCATTCCTGAATCTCACTAATGCTGTGCAAGTCTCCTGATGGGGAATGGAAGCTCCGAACCACATTCCCATCCCTGTCCAGCTCCAAGGCCAGTCCATAAGGTGCTGGATTCATCTTCTCCAATACAGCCAGGTTTGCAACCTAAGGATGCAGAATTGCATATCACAACATTTACATAAAATGATATTGCACCTTGAAAACCTGAGGACCTAATGTTGAGAGATGTAACAGTTGAGATGCCATAGTAGATATATTTGGAACCAGAAGCCATCTATACAGGGTGAGTCAAAAGTCCTGGCCACCTTTTGAATGTTAATAAATTTTCAACCTGATATCTGATCAAGATGCAGCTTTCACTGTTTGAAAAAGTAGACAATTCCGTATCTGAGGATTTTTATATTATTTTGCCAATGGTATCCTTTGGAAATGAAATTCCTACTCTGATTATATAAAAGCATTGGTATCTGAAAATACACTTGTGGCACCATGTACAATTGTCTGTTTGGGTGTAGGAGTTATTGTGCCTCAGCTGTAATCAATTCCACTTCAAGGATGATTGAGGAAAATGGCTGAGAAACGATTGACCACTATTGATGATGATAAGCATGTTCCAATAGTTTAGCTTGATTCTGAATGTGATGGAAACTGCTCAACTATTCAAGAAGAAATTCAATGAGAAGCAGTCAGCTGCAAGTTAATTATCATACCAACTTTAATTTTGACAGAACAGGAACTATAGCAGACCTTCCCAAAGCTAGGCATCCTCTGATACTTGAACAGACAATTGGACATAGTGCTGCAAGCATGTTTTCAGGTACCAATGCATTTCTATAATGCCCAGAATAGGAACTGAATTTCAGAAGGATACCATTGACAAAATAATGTAAAAATTATTCATTAGATGCAGAATTGTTTATTCTTTCCAATAGTGAACATTGCATCTCAATTGGATCTAGCATTGAGAAGTTATCAACATTCAAGAGGTGGGCAGGACTTTTGACTCACCCTGTTATAATAATATAATTGCTCGCTCATTAGTCTGGGAACTCCTCACTTGCTGATTGGATTTGAGCAAAAGCTTGATGGAAATCTAGAACCCTCAAAAAGTTCCAGAACTCATTTTTGTCATATTGCAACAAATTTAGGGATCAACAACTGACCTACAACTGCAAAGGTCGTATTAGGTAGCACATTGGCTGCTGTAAGGGGGATCCAGGTTCAAAACCAATGGAGTTTTCCAATTTGCTTTCTGATCTTAGACTCCAATGTATTCAGGAAAGGAGATCTCTAAGCACTTGGCACTTCCATTTCAAGATGTGGGACATTATAGAACCCTAATGATGAAGATTTAACTTGAGTAGTGGATGCCCAGAGTAACCATGAGAGCCAAATTTGATCTCCCAAGGGTGACTTGGGTCTTAGGCGAGTTGAAAGTGGGGTAAGGCTGGGATGAGAGAGATGGTTTGCTGGAATTCCTGAGCAAAGGCATATTTGTGGGCTTTGAGCCTCTTATGCCTGGTATTAATCATTTTGCAATATATATTGTTCCTTGTGCAATGAGGCATTAGTGGGGATTCATGTGAGCAAGGATAGGGATCACATGGACCACATTTGCTGGCTTACTAGCTTAAGGTAATTTGGGGGAATATGGCCCTACAAAATGAAAGCTGGTCATCACCCATCGAGGTCGAATTTGACTTTTACAATGTTTCTAAAATATTGATTGATATCTCCTTTTCTAAGTCCCAGCAAGGCATATGCAAAAAACCCCATGGATATAGCGCCTTTGGGTATTTTTTGAATTGGTCCCAAGAGGCCATACTACCCCTAAAGTTGGGGGAATATGGCCACTTCTGAAAAAAACAACTCCAGGTTTTCCAGGAATGTGTGAAATATGCTGGAGCATGCTGAATGCCTTGCATAATAAAAGACTCTAAGCAGTTGAAAAAGAAACACTAACTGCATTGAGGACAAACAAAGAAGTCGACATCATTACATGACTCGAGGATCCTTTGTGGAAAGCAGGATTGCACCACTTTTGCTTTTGAGTAACATTGCATGTGAGTGTGAGACTATACCAAGAGACTGTGGGTGTAAGAGGAGTGATCAAGCATAGATTAAAGTGAACATGCACTATGAGCGTAAAATAAGAGGTCTTACATTGCAGAAGAAAAGTTGTCATTTTTGCATGTATTGATAAATAGTGCAAAAAAAATCAGAGAAAGCCCTTTTTTTGCACGAGGGATATTTACTTGCATTCAAATTTTGTGTAAGGAAAAATTTCTGGAGAATGTCAAGTGATGCAGATGTCCAGGAGGAGGAGCATGAGTATATCCTCATGCATGGCCTCCTCATGTACTGCATATTTTGTCCAGATGTCCTGTACGTCTATCCATATATCCAGAGGAAGTGCATTGGATGATCTTTTGCAGCCTGAGATCCCACATGAAAGGAAGCTGACACTATCAATAGGTCAGTGTGGTGCTAACATGAAATGAAGGATGTGTCTGTATTACCCCAATTCGAGATGGCTATATTCCCCCATATTGGCTAGCATGACAAAATTGACAACACTGTCTGCAAACCGCCAGTGAAGGGGCTAGCACTTTGCACAAGCATTCTGGAGAGACCATAGAAGAACTTTGAAGAAATGGTTTCTGTATCCATGCTGCTATTAGGAAATGTATGCTTAAGTTGCTCAAGGCTCATATTAGTTTCAGGGTCATGAGTCAAAGAATTGCATGACTTTCAAGACATCGATGTATCCCGAATTCTTGTAAGAACTGGATCAATGAACAGGTCTAAATACTTCAATAATTGCATGTACTCTTCAATAGAACTATTTTTTAAATTCGCCCAAACTTATTATTCAGTCTGTAAGGGGATTCATTGTGAAGGGCCATATTCCCCCAAGTCACCCTATTTTTTATAAAATACCTGACAAATGTAGTTCTTTGTGATGAAATGCCTAAAGGTTATAGGAACTAAGATAGGAACAAATAAGAAAGTAAGCAGAAATGAGTGGAAATGGTTTTCCCAGTTTCTCAGATGTAGAAATGGGAAAATCAAAATCTAGGGGGAAGGTGGAAAAAAGGGGGGGGGGGGTATTAGAGGAGAGGAGTGGTTCAACCATCTTCCTTCCTTGAGACAGAAAAGGACAATGTGCTAAGGGAGGAGAGTCAAGCCCTTTAAATTCCAGTCATCTGACTGGATACTGGCTAGCAGAAAATAATAAGAATGAAGCAAAGCAGACAAAAACAACAAAAAGTCAGCTTTATAGGCATATAAATAAATGCTTGCAAGCAAAAGAGGAACACTGAACTGAATAAGAAAGAAGAAAACTAAGCACACAATGCTAATAAGGCTTCCAGCAGGATCTATGATTTGCTTTAATTGTAATGGATACCTTTAGGGAAATTTGAATGTAATTATATAGCTCTTATCTAAAATTGGGGAAGTATGAGCAGCTACTATTTTGTTTGGTGAAACTGCAGATGCAAATAGAGCACCACCATGACCATGAACTTGTCATATACAGGGTGAGTCAAATGTCATACCCTATAGGAATGCACAAAGGATGACCCAGGACCTTGGAAGAGCTCAAATAGAATGTGTTTAGTGAATGTGCAGCAATCATGCCTGACACCCTCCAGTGTGAGAGGGAAAACTTCATCCATTGCATGAACATCTGTTCTCACCCTCCAGGAGATACAATTTGAACATCTTTTGCAAAATTATTGCAACACCTTTCAGGTATTTTGTAAAAATATGGGAATTTCCTATGGGACCTGATTTTTGACTCACCCTGTATACTTGCTGCTAGGCAGTGACATGGTTACTGAGCCCCACAGTGACATTACACTGTGTCAATCATCATTTGTATGAGTGGGCCTAGACTTTTGGCAATATAGTGTATTCTCCTGCCTACACATAATACTCATTGATGTGCAACTTTTGAGGCAATCCGAAGAAAACCAACTGCTTTGTGGATCCTCTTCGACCATTCCCAACTGTGACAGTTCACTGCAAATGCAGTAGGGTAAAACCATCTAAGGTTGGACACCATAAAAAAATTGTTATGAAGCAAAGCATTTGCAAGGTCACCCATAGAAATAACTCTTCCCAGCTGCAAAGAACTTTTTCTGAGGGAAGCTCACCAATGCTAGGTTTTTTAATGATGTACATGGCAGTGTCTGAACTTAAATACTGTTCAAACTTATAAAGTTTTACCCTGTATGTTCGATAAAAGTACTACACATGACATCCAGGATTGGAAGTTTGAAAAACTATGAAAAACTGCCTTTTTTAAAATTAAAAGGGACTTTTCATAAGGAGAATTCCCAATTATAATTTTAAAAACTAATTTAGAAAACTAAAAAGCTGACAAATTTTGAAGCGTTCAACTTTTAAGGCCAGTGGCATTCACATGAAACCAGGGGAACAGAAAACCTCTGAACCTGAGATAAATATTAATGAACATCAAATATTTCCAGACAGGATTTCCAAAAGCATGGAATGAGCACTGACCGTGGTGGCAATAGTGCCCAATATGGGATTTGGGAAGAGGATGTTGCCATAGGAGAATGGTAAGTGGATGAGATACAGGATCCGTGCAATGAACCGTCGAGATTTTGGGTAGGAAGACAGTATATCTATGATGTCTGGAGATGCCTTGTTTGGATGAGGCATCATGGCAATGCCAATGTAATATCCACCTCGGCCATTGGAGCGTATGTTATCTGGAGATCCAGGAAGGGTGGCAAACACATCCATTTTTCCCCTTTTGGGACCCTTGAGGTGATAGCAAAGAATGCGGCGACGAACACTTTCTGCAATTAATAGGTGGGATTCATCTGGGGATAACTCGACGCCATTGGGAAAATGGAGTTCCTCCACTACTGCCTCCACCTTTTTCGTGTTTGGATCATACTTCAGCACCCTGAAGATTTATAAAACAATCATGTAACATCAATTCCATGCTGTAATCACAGTCTAAATAAAAAGCACATAGAACCTTCTCATTGCTCATATCTCATCTTCAAATTATCACATTGGCCAAGTTCTTTCTAATCCCACCATCCATATTTACAAGCAAGTTTATCAAGTTTTCTTGGTGGAGAATCATCCTATAACTTTGAAATTTTAATAAACTTCATGATATCTTGATAGGAGTTTGCATACCAAATTTAATCAACACTGCTCAACTCCTTATGACTGATGTTACAATCGCAAACAGTGTACAAGTGATACTGACCAACTAAAGGAGACATTGACATTTCACTATACTACTTAGTACCATACACATGCTGGACTAGTTGCATTGTCAATGGTATGTTCCTTCTGTTTTTTTTTTATTCTTTGAAAATCAAAAGACTAACTTGATACATTGACCCTTTTAGCACAGCACAGATTTTTATGCCATTTAACAAGCACCCCAACTATGTAAAGCAGCAGTATTCAAAGTGTGGCCTGGTTCATGGTTTTTAGCAGCCCACTAATAATTGAACTAATAATTGACTTTATCACACTTAATTGTTTTATTGGCACCCATGAATAACTGCAATTAACACATTTTTAATTTCCAGATTTTGAATCCTTTGCTGAAAACTAGCAAGTTTAGTCATTATTTAGATACTTAGATATATATAATACATGTTTACATTTAGATCCTTATGTATTTAGGTGTGCACCTGCTGAACATGCCTAAAGAGATTTGGAGCATCCATATACTGCAGGGAAAAACATATTTCCTTGCAAGTAAATGAAGTTAAGGTGAAAAAAAGAAATATTTATCGAAAATACAACTTGTAAAAAAGCAGCACCTAGAACCGATGTGTTTACATGAACCCTGACTCCAAGTAGTGGCAATTTTTATTGCTGCTCATTTTTTAAATGGGACTTTCCTATTTAGAGTAGCTTGACCATGAGATCAATGGCAAGATAAAGGGATTAATCATGCAGAAATTTTAGATCTTTTTCAATGTGGCCCACTCCAAGTTGACTAACATTATCAGTACGACCCACTCAAAGTGGACCAAAGTGTATGTGAGGCCCTTGGCTCAAAATGTTTGGGAACCACTGATGTAAAGGAAGAAACCTAACAAAAAGCTGTGGCTGAAAAATGGCATTTTTAACAGTAGAACACGAGATCGAAAATCGGCTGCATGGCACTAAAGAGGGTTAATCACTCTTTCAGAGACAGGAGTATACATGACATATAGGCAGTATGTGATCTCTTGAATACTGTGCCACCATGGCTCTGTGGATAGGGTGTCAAGCTAGAACATGGAGGTCCAGGTTTGAATTTGACAGGGAACCCCACTCTTCCTTGGGCTCAAGCTTAGGCCACTCTATGCTCCATTAAGAGGGGTGTGAATAGTTTTGAGCAGATATGAGCAGGGATGGACCTTCACTAGGATCACTTGACCATTCTTACAGAGCTGGGACATCAAGCCCCATCACTGTTATCATCCCTTGAAAATGTAAACAATTGTAACCCCCATAAAAAGCCCACCTGCATTCACCTGGCTGAAAAACAAGGTGGATGCAGATAGGAGATGGGTCTTAAATTCAAATAGATGCCAAATCTGGTGAAAATCTGCCTGGTGATTTGTGCTTGTGTACTTCAAGCCAGGTGAATGTTCCCCGCCCCCCCTCCCTATGTGGATTTTGAACCAGGTGGACATCACTCCAACAGGTGGATTTATGCCTAAAGAGGCATCCACCTGGTTCCTAATCCTCCTTGGGGGGGGGGGGGGAAATATTTTGTAAGACACCTTGACATGTCTGGAATAGTGTGATGTTATTATGTAAGCTGCTAAGCCATAGCTTTCATGACATGGGACTGTCACATTTGACTATCCTCAAGTCAAGATGTGTTACTGTGTACATCTTGAAGGTCCAGCATCCAACAGGCCTGTCTCATCTGATTTTCTTCCTCTAACTTTTGACTCATGCAGGGCAGTGTCAGATTTGGATTCCTACGATGCAAATAACTCTCATACATTATTATTGGGTGTGGAAAACCTATAATTGAGATTGATAGTATTCATTCTTATAGATCTGACATCAATCATTGCCAATGAGATTAACTGCGATGTTGGTGCCATATTCATGCTTGCATTAGGACTAATGCATTTGCGTATGAAGCTGTGAAAATTGAACCACAGCAAGAAACCTGTTGTCTGACGGGCATTAAACATAGCTGTCACACTTGACCTTCCTTATATTGAATATGCTTTTCTTTAAAGTCCAATACCCACTACAGCAATGCATTTGATTTTCCCTGTATCAGTTGACTTTCTATTTCCATATTTGATTTAGAAAACCAATATATGCTTCAGCAATTTGGTTGAACTAAGGGTTTATCCCTCTAATACTATAAATAAGGTCCATGTGTTGGTGAAGACTTCTAATGATCACATAATCAGATTTATTCACATTAAGTGTCAAGAGATTAGGTTTCATCCCATCACTTCCTTAGCATACAACATTTTGTGATTTGCATACTAATTTGTGGATGTAACTGCCATTGAAGAAGGCACTAGTGTCACCTGCATATGATATTTTACTGAAAAAAGGTTTCATTTGCCATCACATTCACCAGAGTAGGGTACCCTTGACTCCTGAGGAAACTGCAACATCAGGCTATGAGTTTGACATCTAGAGGTTTCCTATAAGCTATTATACAGAGGACAAGACTTAAGGGGTCTTAGGTCCAACATGAAACAGATGTTCTCTCCCTTCCATCTCCCCTTCAGCCACCTTTTCCCTCTAGCAAAGATCTACCATTTCAATTATTCATCCAAACATATATTTTTGAGGTTTCTTAAAGTCTCATGGCAGAAAAAAAAGTGTTTCAGGCAGTAGGACACACCTTGGAGCACTAGGCCAAGGCTTATGTCTTATTCAGATCTTCATGAGCTAGGAAGTTTTCTTACTATATCAGGGAAAAGACATTATGACAATAACAAGAGGGACCATTCTAAAATCAGCTATAAATAGTTCTAGACTCAGACGTCCCAGAATGTCAAACTTGGCGATTTCCTAACAAATTCTGTGCCATGAACTAAGTCCCAATACTAAGTGCCAACAGGGAAATATATCACTTGAGCACCTTCCACTTCCACTGCTGGCAACCTCAAAAACCAAGGTATCCAGGGTGCTGATGCTGCTGGCATCTGTAAAGAATATGTTTCCATCTGATGCAATTGCCACATCATCCAGGAAATGTGGTTTCTTGCCAGCATGCTCCTCCTCCACTGACACCAGCCTTGTTTTTTCCCCTTTATGGGCAAACAATATGAATTCATGAAAAAAAAGGATAGGTTCAATAAGTGCAGTCATTGATGACATTATGACTATGCTCTATGGTACCGGTGTCAACATTGATACGAAAGATGCCTAGATAAGCATCAGCAACAATGAGGCTGCCATCCTTGATGAAACGCATTCCCAAGGGTCTCCCACACCTTGTGTCCCAGTCCCCATCTGGTGGTGGACATTCACTGTTATTAAATCACTTATCTACTCCAGCTCCTCTGCTTCTAATCTCATGGTCAAACATAGTTTTTAAAAATGTAACCCTCATCCAGGAAAGAGGGGTTTGTTGGACTCCAAGGCCTCAAGTTTTCTAAGCAGCATTCGAACCATTGCATACATTTTCCTGCAATTTTCAGTATTTGTCCTTTAATTTGAGGAGCCCCTGATGCCAGAAAATTACCAACCTGAGTCGTTATTAAAGGTATTTTTAAAAATAATTTTGATTGGAGTAACATAACCAGGCAAGGGGGGTCCATTGGACCCCTTCTACATTCCATGTATAGGCACAACATTTTACCCCTGATTCCCCCATATTTCACAATGTTTCACCTAATGTTTGCCTGAAGGACCTTCTGACAACTAGTGTAAGAGAGAAAAAGGGAGAAAAGAGGGGAATCCCAGAATTTATCTTGGACTCATGGGAGAGGACTCTGCAACCAGGATTTTGAGAAGAGAAGAGTTGCAAAGGTGAAATTCGGGTAATCCCAGGAGAATTTTGCCTCTAGTGCATTCATGCTTGCCTTTTTAAAAAATTGTTTTATATCCTTGTGGGATGTGTTGAAACTATGCCATTTCCCATGTGATTCGGTATAGCATAGGCATGACATCAAGTCGGTCTCGCCCAGTATTAGTGGTTCGGCTCCATCTGAAAAATGTTCTTCATTTTGTGTTGTGGATTGTTGCCTTTCACTTTAGGGTAAGCTTATCTCTTGGTTTATGGACATTTGATTATGAAGCTAGAAATAGGCTAATGCAAAAATGTATTCAGAATTCTGAGATTAATAATCATACCAAGTCGTAGGTATACATACTTCAGAAATAAATTTTGTGACAATATCATATGCTGTGACATTCTTGTAAGTGAAGTTTTTATTCTTGGTCTTGGACTATATCAACCTATGATATTTATAACATCAGGCTTAATGTTGCTCCAATCATATGAGGTGGAAATTGCATCATGTGTATAAGGAGGAGATAAATCAGATGTAAAAGGTACCCCAAAGGTAACAAATTATGAATTACAGGTGGAAGGTAAATGTAAATGCAGGTAACACACAGGGAAAAAAAAAGAAATCATGGGTGAAAAAGAAGGAACCATGAAACAGGTAAATTACAGGTAAGAAGTTACAGTGAAATTTGGTAGTGGTGGAATCCAGACAGTGAAACAGATTTTTAAAAATCTGAAAATTTTCCCTTTTTATACCTTAGTTTTATTATCCAAATTTTGCTTGAGGTAAAAAAAAAAATTTATTTGGGATGCAAAATAATGTTGCATTGCTTTTGAAATTCACCAGAATCAATAAAGGAAAGACATTTCTTCATGATAAATGTGTTTTGTCTCCAGTTTTCCCACACTATACCCCATATACTTAAAGTAATAGGGGTAAAAAAAAAAGTAATAATAGAAATAATACTTAAAGTAATGGACCCCCCTTGCCTGGTTACATTCATCTTTTACCTTGCCTGGATAAGGGTTATGGCAAGCTATGCCTCCATATCTAGTTACATCAAGTCTCAGGGGTATTGATGCAAAGTTGATTTGAAAATGCACTGTTGACCAAGGCTGAATGGGAAGATTGTGGATGGTCAAGTGTTTCCAGTTGCAGTTTTCAGGACAATAGATCTCAGAATGTTTTTCAAGCTATAAACAGTGTCATCTAGTGAAATTCACAATAAAGTGATTTTTAGTCAAATAGGTGAATTTTCAAGAAAGGCTTCTTGAAATATAAACTAACCACATGTGTTTCCCATGCGTGTCACATTGTGAATCATCCTGTCTTTAATCTTGACAATAAGGCCAGTCTGAATTCCAGTATAGAGCTCATCTCCCCTCCAGGCAAGAGACTCTGGTCCTTGGAGGAAGCCCTCATGCAGCTTTTCTGCCTTTTCTAGGTCCTCATTTGGAGACAACTTGCCAGTCAGGGGGATATCTTCAATGCTGTTATGGGAAGAGAAGAGATATACCAATAGGGAGATGTGAGATACTGATTGACATTTGCTGGGCCTGCAAGAAGTTGGTGTCAGTTCAGCTAACTGAAACTCTAACACCTATGTATTCCAAGCAAGCCTACTAGTTGGTCAACTGTGCTTTCTGATAGATTTTCCTCCCTTATTTACAAGGGATTCATATTGTTCATTTTATTTTACCTACAAAGGGTGGAGTAGCTAATCACTTGCTCAAGAAAGGTGTTATCCCATGCAATAGAAGTCTCATCAGGTGTGAACTTTAATGGTAAAATTTATTAATCTGAGGCAGAGTTCAACAATAGCTAAAACAAGTTAATATTTTATGGGGAAATTCTGCATGAAGTAGATCAAATCAAGTATTTGGGGGTAATATTGGACAGAAACCTTGTTTGAGACAAACACATACACCAAACTGGCTCAAAAAAGATTTTATTAATGTGGTAGTGAGTAAAGTACGCTACTTAATTCTATGGTCACTTTGAACCCGTTCAGTGTTTTTGATGTAACATTACACATCTTATTCCTTCACACCATTTGTTTTTGATTCAATATTACAAGTCTGTAGCTACATGCAACATGCCAAAGATCTCTTTCTACTCTGGAGAATTCTGTCATAAGTTCCTAAATTCGGTCCTATCTTTGTCAAATAATTTATCAAGAAAGTGTAGTTGTTAATGCTAGAAACTTTAAGCTAACTAGAATTGCTGATCCCCACCCTCATAAAACAAGAGCATTGAAGGCAGGAAAATTTCAAACAACCAGAATAAATACAAAATTTGGAGAACAAAATACTGTACAAGAAGGACTAAGGACATATAATGAACTGCCCAAGGATAATGATAAAGATAAAGGATAAAGGTAATGAAAATCAATCCAAATCTTTAAAAGCCTTAAGGAAAAGAATCTAATAAAGAAACCAGCTTCTCCATAATTGATTGATTAAGCTGACTGGATGTCCATGGGAAAAAAAAATTCTTATTTTTGCATCCCTACTCAGTCACCCAGGGCAAATCCAAGGGGTTCTCTGGATGGCCTTCTTGTCCACTATTTGCATTCACATTCTATTTCTTTTTCCTTGAGCTTCTTTTTTTGGTGTGTATTATCTTTCACTTTTGTTTTTGTCCTTATCTCTTGCCCTTTCCTGTAAATACAGTCAACTCTTGATATACAACCACTGTTGGTCTTCACCAATTTTGGTGCTACATTGAAGGTGGTGCTAAATTAAAACACATGGCTTTGAAATGGGAAAGTTTTTTTCTATATATGTAACATATGCAAAAAAAATCACTTTTAATCATCCATGCTGCCAATGGTCTTTGCCTCAGAACACATAAACTACACAGCTTTGCAAAATCATTCCATTCATAATGAAATTCCATCATTTCTTATTTTCAATGAGGACAGCTCCTATGTACCGTCTCCTCACTTAATTGTCCCAAAACACAGGAAAATTATTCACAAAGTTTTGCTGACTTCTGCCATCATTTGAGGGAAAGCTGACAGCATTAAATTTTGTATGTGGTAGGATGATTGCAGCCAGTACAGTATGCTGCTTGGCGCAATATCAAGTAAGACTTACCTTAAGTAAGACTTACATAGAATAAGACAAGGTGTTGACAAATGGCAGCTTGTAAGGGTGGTGCTATTACAGGGGAGGCAGGTAAGCCTTTAGGGAAGATTCACTCTAAGAAAAGAGTTGGCAATAAGCAAGAGCAACAGTATATCAGGTGGTGCTATATTGAGAGTTGACTGTATAAGGAAATATATTTTATTCTTTCTAAATTTGAAGCACTTTCAAACTGGCTCAGAATACAAGTTAATTATTCTATAATGTGAAAATAACCTTCTATCTTCACATTGTCACCTCCCATAATTTTTTAAGGAAAATAATAAAAACTAACTATTCAAAACTTTTTGCCACAAAAAATATAAAAAATTATGGAGGATCTTCACCCAAACCAAGGAAACAGGACTTCAGAGCATGAGAATCACCTCCAATCATAACATAAAGGTATCATACTGAGCCATGTTCTTGATGAGAAGAGATTCCAACTTGGATCTCACTTTTTCCCCATGATGAAACAAGTTCACTGAGACACAATACAGGGTGTCTGAAAAGTCAGGAATAACAAAAAAACTTGCTAAGTAAAATATATTCCCATTGATTCCTGACTTTATGGAGATCCTGTAGTTCCCAAATTGTTGCATATCATCAGGAAAGGAAAGGAACCAAGGTGTCATTCTCTTCACACTTATTTGTACTTTAAAGCATTTCTTTGCCCTCTGGAAATCAATATCAGAAACTGTACCATAGCGAATATGAAAAGGAATTACTTAAGGAAATTAACCACATTCATGAATTTTCTCAACAAGTTTCAGCAACAACAGCATTTTAATTGTGGATGAACTCATTATTTCTACACTAAATTGATACTTTAACGCAAATGGGGTGGTGATTCTTTCTTCTTACTTCAGGCTGATTGTGGATCCTTATTGTTAAAGGAACCCCTTGTGCAGACCTCATGGTCGATGGGCTCAGTACTTGACTGAAGGTACTTTTTTAGTACTGCCATATATAGTCCATACTTTTATTGGGTAATAGACAAACCATTAAGCAAGTCCACTGGTACCTCAGTTGCTGAGATTGGGTATCATTTTTTTGTGGTATGGCTGCCTCTTGCTTTTTGAAGGGTAGAAACTTAACAGTAACTGCATCTTAATCATGGGTGCCCTTGAAAGTCATGTCCAGGGCTGAAAATGAGTAATACTTTATTTTTTCAATTGTTTAATGCCCGAGAGAGCATGTTTGTACATTTATGGGATGTGCCTGCACTACTGTCTAAGTATGGCCACATATTAGGTTGTCCCATAATTATCTGCACATTTTCAAGCCCACCCTACATGAGAACATAATGCACAATCACACACATAGTTGACATCAATTTTATCAATAACCTTCTGAGCTTTAGATGATGCACTCCTTGTATCTGTGTGTTTCAGCCATGAGTTTCGAACACTTAAAAACCTCAGTCACTGATGCAGAGTAACAACAATAAACTTAAAATAACTTAAATAGGTTTGATAACAATAATGCAGTACTTTCTGTTCTTCAGTCATAGGTACCCTAAAAAGTGATGCCATTGTAATGAGATAAGTGAAGATATACACTCTATCCAATAGAAAAAGCTGCAATTGGTTGTGAAGAAAAGATATGATAGGTCAGATGACAGGGCATCCATATGAGAGCAATACAATTCTGGTCTCTGGGAGGTCATCTGGAAAGAAAAGATGCTTCCTTGTCTAAGTAAGGTGAACTATAGGGTTAATGCACCGTACAAAAAAAAACTTGAATGGTGGAGAGGTAGCAGATGAGTTGATCCCTTCTATTTTTCCTCAGTCGCCCTATCGAAATTCCTACATGAGTCATGTATTTCATCCTAAATCAAGGAGAATTAAGAGACCTTCTAACCATAACCATAATCTTTGCGATCAGCGTGCAGGATGCTGAACAATAAATGAGGAAAGAGAGGGCAATATCCACTCAAGCTTGGATAGAGCGCTCGATTTTTCTTGGAATGGTGCATTGACATTATCTCCAACCGACCTTCATGTTACTGAACGGAGGTAAAAAAAAAAAAAAACAAATCCTTGATTCTTCCCTGAGCCCAACATTGCACTTGTTATACGTCCTTAGGGTATCTGTCTGCAGACCATGAGGCTTCCAGCAATAGTAATCGTTCGAGCGACCCTTCATGCAGTGAATTCCTCATTTAACCAACCGTGTTTGCGTTTCTGTCAACTCAAGTCTTATCATCAAGCTTAACTTACGCCAGACTTACTTGTAACTTTGCCATGAAGCATATGGAGGAAACCCGGGGAGGAAAAATAGGACGAGGGCAAAAATAATGAAATAATACAAGCATGAAGAGACGGAGGAACACATATTATGTCCTACAGCCGGTAGGAAGGGCATGGATGAGCATGATAAACTGCAAGCCACGTGGTACACTAGGAGCAGCCATACTTTGGTAGGGAAGCAGTACCATCTATCGGATAATCGACAAAACATTGTAGACCCTTGAGCTTGAGAGGGGAAATCACCATTTTCGCGTTACTGCACTGAGCCTCGTGTCCTGTTGTCGAACCAGTCCGGAGTCAAGTAGGCCTATAGCTAACAGGCTAGGTTTAGGCTTTGGCCTATAGTGATTGACTTATTTTTATTTAGTCATTGTTCCAGTTCAATTTAGTTTAAGCTCACTTTCAGTTTATCTCCAGTTGACGGAAATCCACGGAACTAAATATGAAGTATAGTTAGGGCCAGTTTCTTGAATCCCCGTTTACTGGAAAGAAACTGTTACTGGATTTAATGTTAATGTACGGATGAGCTTAACACTTTGCACAAGGATTTAAATGACATTCTGCTTCAGCAGCTAAATTTTATTTTACGGCAAATTAAGCCATTCTACATTTGTAACAGTAATTTGCTCAATACAGATTAAAAATTTACTTACATGATGCTTCATAATAAATAAATCTTCCAAGATTTCTCTGTCAAAGGAGGTCCGACATACTAGAACTCAATATTTTTTATGTTGGAGGAGGCCCAGCAGGCAGACAGGTGGAAAGAGCTAATCCTGCATATGTACTTATGATTAAGTACTGGGCAGTTAAAAACTGTCTCCCTGCCCACCCTTGATCTCTTTCAGGAGATAAATGAACTTTAAAGGTGCATTCATTTTCTATCTTTTCTTAGAGATTTTGTCAATCCCCTGCCCTAATTTTGTTACTCCCTCAATTTCTCCTTTCAACCTTATACTCCACAGACCTCTATCTTTCATTCTTCAGTAACTGATACTTTTTTTTAAAAGGTTTTTCTCTTCCAACTTGCTCAATTATCACTCACAAGGAATGCCGTGATCTGTGTGTCAAGTTACTAGTAGACCCTTTGGCAAATATGGTAAAAACTCATCTGTTACACTCGACTGAAGCACAATCAGCTTGTGGATTGCATTCAAACTCCAATAATTACACTCACAAAGATCCTGCCATCTTTCCCATAGAGCAATTAAAATTCCCAAACCCACTGTACCATGTGAGATGTAAACAAATGTATCATTAAATTAAAACTTTCTAATAACTCCTAAATCTATCCTGGCTCTCTCTTTCTTCTTTTCTTTCCTTCTCACACCTCATTGTGTTCTCTTTGCACCATGTGCCTGCTTCTGAGCTGTGCTTTTTTTAAATTTCTATTTTTGAAAACTAACCCCCTCAGAACTTTTTGAGGACTGCTAGTCCTCCCCCCATCTAATTTTTTCAATTTCTGCCTTGCTTTTTTTCTCCCTCTTCTATTCATGTTTAATGTTTTATATTTTTACATCTCCTCTCTCTTCCAATTCACGCTGATCGCTCCAAGGAAGAGTTTTTGAAGTGTCAGCTATTATTAAAATTATTTGCTTGTATTTAAAATGCAAATCCTACCAGCCTGCTTCCGTACATCAGGGATTTACCTTCCCATGAGGGCTTTCAGACCACCTTGTTCTTATTGGGAGAAGATGGACAGGTGTTTAAAGGAACCATGACACCCAAGAAAGGGTGGTAAGCCAGGATCCTCTAGTTTGGAAGGTGGGCCAGAAGAAAGAACACAAAGATAACCCAGGATAACCTGTTCTTGCATGCTTTTCACCAGAGATGGAGCCACTGGCAGACAGACTGGGATTCCTTTCAGTGCCCGCAGGACTGTGACCAAGGTACCTTATGATCATGACTACAAGTATGAGTTTGTGACCTTTGTTGAAGCATGAACTGTAGGTATAAACATTTCATCCTTTTTTCTCCTCCTGGGATAATAGTTTCCAAATATGATCATGTCTTGATGATGGTTTTCAACATGAGGTTTCATATCCCTCTTTCCACCTCCAATGAGCTCTATGGTCATGTAATTTCTGGGCTGTTCATGAACTATGCTCAGGGCTTGGTGATCAACATGCTTGGTTCATGGGCATCATGGGATTTTGGGTCATTTTCCTGATAGCATGCTCAAAGGTCTCTCCTGAGGTCTTTGGTCTTTTCAATCTGTCCCTTGTAAGATTTATTCAAGCCTCTGCATCTGACTTTAGGGGCCTCTGAAGTGCTTGGATCCCCATTGTTAGCAGCAGGATCCCTTTTCATTTTCGGAACCAGATGCTTTCTCTCCAGTTGGCTGGTTGGGCCTGGAAGGGTGGCACTCCATAATGAGAAGTTAGTGCACAGGGTCCTGGGCAGTATCCAGCCAAGAGCACTTGGAGAACATGGACCTAACTCCTGGCCTTATCTTTATTATTTCAGTCTTTCACTGCATATGCCAGCATAGAAAGTTTGGAGGGGGGTGACCCACATCCCAGTCTTAATACCATTCTAATTATGTAGGGCATGGCAGAGAATGTTGACTGTGCCCAAGATTGCTGTATGCCGGAGGATATTTAAGGGATATCTGGCATCCCTTGATATCCTTGACAACTTATTTCATTTTTAGATTCGTATCTTTGGTGCCAATGTCAGCATGTGAAAATCATTCTGGAAGTGAGGAATGTAGGGTATGGATTATTTCCTGCCCAGTTGATAGGATACTGTTATACCAAAGCTACTTTAACTCATTCTGTGCCATGCAGCCAATTTTTCAGCCATGGCTTTCCATTGGGTTTCATCCATCACGTAGTTGGAGTTCTTATTGTTAGATGGCATTAAAAAAAAATAGGCCTACAGCCTTTTTGGAAGTAGTAGATGTGGCTGAAAAATCAGCCATGCAGCACCCAAAGGGTTAACCACAAAGTCTGATCCTAATGACACAGGGTGGCTTATTTTTCCTCAGTGATGCAAAGCAACCAAAGTGATTTAAAGTAATTCCTCTAGTTACAGATGAGTCAGTATGTAACACTTAGATCTCCTGGTTTCTTAGTTTAGTGGAAATTATTCCTCTATCACATCAAACTCTCCAACTGATAGAATAAATGTGAAGGCTCATTCAGCTTTCCAGTTTCCAATAATGTTTTTCTCAATAATATGGACACGGCTTCAATGAAGCGTTGAGATGAGCCATATTAACAGTTGAAAAAAAAAAGAAGGAAACTGTAACTGCTTGTAACATGTATGGAAGTCTCACTTATTTTGTTCCATATGAAAATAAAATATGAGTAGAATGGTTGAAAAAAAATAGGTCAGCCAAATTGGATCACTAATTTAATTCTGTTCAATCCAGGATAATTAGGCTCAAGTTGAATCATTTGAATCAGTTTTTAGTAGTAAGAGGATGGCATTACAGTATCTAATCAAGTAGGTAGGTGGTTCCAAACAGTTCTATGCAGGAAGCATTTGTGTACAATAATCTTAAAATTACCAACTTCTTCTATGATCTTTTAAAATCTGGTTATTCATATCAAACATATGACCAATATATATAAAATCAAACTCTAAAATTTGAAAATTCCAATGAAGATCTACAGAGGTATTGGAAATTTTTAATGTGTGGTAATGTTTGAAATGCTCCATCACCTGTAAAGACTAGTTGTAGCCATTTTTGTGCCATGCCAAGTTCTTATGTTTTGAGAATTAAATTTCACTTTGTACTCTGCTGCCTGTTTCAATCAAAAGCAAAAAATCATAAGTTTTAGTTATTTAGGAGTTTTGGTCCATTTTCAATTTCAGACTTGTTGCAAATTACAAATAAACTTCAATTTCAATTTATGAATTTTAGTGACTTTAGTTTGCTGATCTTCCTTGCCATACCTTGTATATGTTATAGGATTTTGATAGATTAGTGTGATCTGAAATCACATGAGAGTAATTAAAGAATCCAAAGATGACAATAATTTAGAATCTATGTTTTAACCTTTATTATAAATCCTTGATGCCACTTGTTTGTCACAGTTTTTTGTCAAAATAAGTGATTCCACATCGCCCTTGAATAATAGCAATTCTACAAAATTAGTAGTGAAATATAGAATTAATAAAAACGCAAGAGGACAAATTGCTAACTATATTAGACAATAGTAAGACAGCCAATAAGATAATCAGTAGTCACTGAAGGGAAAAAACCCTGCATATTTTCACTTTGATAAACATATGGCATTTTGAAGAGTAAGTTAATTCCTCAAGGATCTATATTCAATCAATTCTGATACCTGTTTCAGGTTTTTTGCTTTTACTTCCCCTTCCTTAAAATATTGTTACCATCAACACATGGTGATTGTGCAGTGTGTGTGCTGGTAGGCCTGGAAGAGATTCCTGTACTGGTACCAGTTCAGGACTTTTGGTGTGTGGATCTGGTGCCAGAATATAGTGTGACTACAAATTATTAGGGATGCCCCTGGGACCTTTGAATGATCCTTGGCAGAAGATGCAAGTGAAGCCTGGCAGTGAGGTAGGTGATCCTTTCAGTTCTTACATTTATATCATAAAGCAGTGATTAGGTGAAAGTCTGACATATGGGTCTGTCTCTCCCTTAACCTAACTGGAGAAATTTCTTATATTCAATTAAATATATTCATTGGCCATTACTATCATGATGAAGTTAGCCCTACATTGGAAAAGTGACTCCATGGATCAAATCTTTGGCCCTTGCCTGCAGAAAAGTATATCAGCGAAGTCCAATTTTGCCTCGTCCCAGCTTTCATTTGAGCCCAAAAACTCTTTCCTAACTCAATTAGGGCCAACAACTTAGGTGTTTGATCCATGTGCTCACTTTTTCTATGAGTCATTAGTCACAAGACAAAATACATGAAAGCCCTGTAAATTGTGTTATGTTATGATGCCCTTCAGACATAGGAGGTAACTTCCTGAAACCTGCCTGTTGAGGAGACATGGCATTCATTTTGCTGTTTTCAATCTTTGACCTAAAAGTTCACATTGACAGGAAGTTCACTTTTGAGTGTAATTTTAGTTTAGGTACACAGTCAATGTTATTATCATATACTGTGCAAGTTTCCCACCTTGAAGTGAAATACCTGGTAATAAAAAGTTTATCTTGTGTCCAGTGCATCAGATGCAAGTTCTCTGAAGATTTAAATTGAATGGAATTGCCAGACCTGTTGATGACTGGGATGGCTGCTTGGGGCAAAAGATTGTCTTATTGCATTATCAAGAGATGTGTCATGGGTTGGACATAGTTTTGTGCCCTGAGATACAGTGTATCAGTTGAAAGCATGCAAAAAAGTTTCTGGACATGATTTTGACTTACTCTGACAGATGGCATAAATTATTTCCTCTATTTCTTTATAATAAATGAATTTTAAAAATTACTCTAGGATCTCACATTGGTTTAGGAGGTATTATACATTGAAGTCCTCTCTGGAGTGCCTTTGGCTTTAGCAGGATTGTTTTTGACACATGATCTAATCACTGACTTGCATTTCTTTTCTTAGGGATAATGGTCTAGGCATTATTTCATGATGTGACTTGGAAGTGAAGAAAGCTGGCAGCAATTATCAGGGTCTATTCATAGAACTTAAATCTGAAACATTTTTTTGTAAAAAGTTGTGACAGTATTTGCATCCATTTTTGTACACCTTTGTTGATAGCTTTATATGGCATATTATATCTGTAGATTAGCATTAGGAAATAATTATATTTGTCACACTCTTACAATTTCCTTCCACAGGCATCAAGTGCTGAAGAGATGACTGTTGATGAATCTCCTAGTACAGAGGTGAGTGGCCTGTAATGCTCTTATCTATATTGTTATATCTGCTGTTATTTATTCCTTTATGTAAGCTGGGCAGAGCAGAATCAAGATGTCTCTTAGCAAGTTACAGTGTCTACACAAAATAAAATTAATATTGAATGAGAATGAAATATCTGCATTTTGCCTCAAAAATGGTTCCCTACTTAGTTCAAGGAAGGAAAAAAAAACCTCAATGCAAGTAAATATGAAGTAATAAAAAGAGTAATATTTATTAAGCCATTAAATAAAATGAAAATTTGTAGTAAATGCTACTGAAATGTATTCATAGAGTTTGAATAATGATGAGCAATGAGAAAGGAGCCACAAATATATAGTATTGTATTACACTGCATAGTTTAAAAGTAGAGGAAGTTTACCGCTTGTGAGGTTTTGTGAGATCAAAGAGAATTCATGAAATATACTTCAAGATGCCTCTTGCCTTTGGTGTCCTCAAATATTACTATGACGACGACGGTGATGATTATGAGGAGGAGGGGGGGGGATGATTCCTTGCCATAGAGATCCCTGCTTGCTTTGATGATGAGGAGATCCAATTATCTCCATCTCATTCTATTCTATAAGCGCATGAGGAGGAAAGGAAACAGTGAAAAGGTGAAAAAAAACCAGGCGTTATCCTCACCATCATTGATATTAAATGTCCTGATGATGGTGAGAATATGCGTATGTGAACTAAACTTTGCTCTAACATGACCATAAGAAATATGAATGCTAAGTATGACAAGGAATATACCAAAACGTGTCAGGAGACAAATTTTGTTACGGTAGATCTCCTTAATCTTTTCGTGGTAAAAGTTGGAACTTAGCAATTTGATGCAAGGTTTCATACCTAATCATCGTTTCCTTCGCCTACGGAACCTTTAATATGTCTTCTCCATTGTCTTTTTTTTGTTATAAGAGGGGAATGAAAATTTTTCATTATCTCGAGCAGGCCTGTTAGCTGTAACATTTATCTCTGCGCTAAAGTGCTGCTCAAACTTCTCGTCAAATTACACGTAAGGTTCATAGTCATCGTAAAACATGACACGTGTTTCTCTTTGAAAACGATTATTCCAAATCCCTTGTAGATTTGAATGTATTTTTTAATTGGTGTTTTCAAAGAGGCGCAAAGGAAGTTGCAACAAGTTAGCATGTTGTGTTTTTAATGGGGTAGATTCGCTGATGCCTGTTCATGTGGTTGGCTGCGGGTCTCCCCCCGGCTCCCTAATCCTTCACAATTCCTTCCCCTGAAGGGAGAACTCAGAGAGGAAATGATTGCAACCTTGAAAATTGAGGGTGCCGGAGGTTCTCTTCTCACCAGATTCAATACATTGGAGGTCGAAATAATAAAAGTCGGAAAGAATGAGGACATGTATTCTCCATGCTAGTGAAGCCCTTGAGGTAGGTATATTTGGAGTTCCGCGCTTGGAAGAGAATTCCACCATAAGCTGACGTTCCCATGGAAACCAAAGTCTCGGCGTATCTAACTCTGTAGGGAATGCTTTGAAAGGAAGGGGAAATGATCTAACTTATCTAGTCTGTCTGAACTGATAATAAAAAGACGTGATTACTGACTTTATCACCAAATGAGAAGAAATAGCATCAGAAGATATATCATCGTAAGAAAATGGTCCTAGGAATGGCTGGTGATTTCGAATGGTCGATGGTGAAACTTAGTATCTCTTTCTCCTGACTCCAAAAATATCTGGGCACTCTAATATGGGAGTTACCTTCTATCATTCTCAAGCTGAGATGTTTACATTTTCGTGATAAAAGTAAATCCTTTTAACCCATTTACATCATGGGTCACCTGCCCTTTTCGAATGTATTTATGAATGGTATACAATTTAAAAATGTCACAGATTGCACTCCATGGGATGCGACACATCCAAGGTAATTGAAAATTAAGTGGAGCCACGCTTGCATCGCTAGAAACGTTCGTCCTTATTTTGAAGACACGCTCACGTTTTGAGAGCACTACTCAAGCGTCACATTTTTGGTACGCTTGTGGATGGATTGATGTGGATGCGAATGGATTAAACAAGTACTTTGCTGCATGCCAATATGTCACGACATGTAGAGAGTCTCCCCTTGTCCTTCGTGGCTGTAAAAAGCTCAGATATTCATATAAGCTGAGTTAATGACTACTATTTTACAGAGCCACCTGATGCGATCCTAAGGGGAAACATTTTTTAGAAAGTTCAGCAGAGTGAAGAGACATTGTGATTTTGAAGGTTGCGAGAGAAATAGCAGTAGCCGCTGATTTGAAGAAAACTGGATCAGTTTTTTTTTTAGATGTCTTTAGATGTAGATAAATAGAATCAATCAAATAAAAAGTAAAAGTGAAATTCTACACCGGCAGTCAATCTTTTTTCTCATTCTATTTCATTAAGTTAATTACCATACCGGATTTTATATTAGTCTTGCTTTTTTAACATATATATTTTTTGCGCATTCCGTGCTTTCCATCTCCTTTGTACCCTGCTTTGGAAATTGGATCTTTCCATTTTTCCGCTAGCCGAGTGGGCGCTAGGGGAAATTTGCTTGCTGTTTCTGTTGATTTTGGGGACATGGAAGAATCATGAAACCAAAGCCTATATCCATAACATTGCCATATCCCACGTATGTTTATTTTGGGAGATATCGCTCTCCTTCGTGCTTGCTATGGGGGGAGGGGGGGGGGGAGAGAGAGAGACTGACTATGTCTCTGTCTCCTTATTGGACAGTCTTTCCCACCCCAGCGCAGTACAGAAGGCGAGGCGCCTGCTTGAGATAAGCGATATCCCTTGTGTGAAATATTGTAACATTGCCTTGAAGTTCGCAGGGCTTTATGGAAGTTAAGACCGGGTATAGTGTTTTTAGCAGCCATATTTCACCCTTGCTCTTATTTTTCGCTCGGATAAGTATCGTCTTTTGAACGAAGTCTGAAATTCTGAAGTAGAAGTAGGAAAATCATTGGTGTAAAATGAAATTTCGAACTAGTAGGGTAGTCCAGACATATATTGAATAGAATATGAAAAGAAAATGACAAACAATTGAATAAATAGCTGCAAGATGAAGTACTTGAAAATGAATGTGTTTTTAAAGAATGAGAAAAATCATATCATGCTAATGTCATTATTATTATGAAAGCAACTCGATTCCAAAACGAATCGGAAAAAGTGTGGCAAGCCTTTATGATTCTCTTCCTCACCTTGGTAGAATAGGAAGCTCCTCCCCCCCCCCCCCCCCTCTTTTCCCTCAAATTAAAAAAAAATATATAATGCATGATAGAAAAGTGTGGCAAGCCTTTATTATTCTCTTCCTCCCCTTGGTAGAAAAGGAAGCCCCCCCCCCCCCCCCCCCTCTTTTCCCTCAAATTAAAAAAAAATATATAATGCATGATAGGGACTCATTCCAGACAAACGTGCATGATTGATCATGTAAAAATCTATTTATAACCTACATATCCGTCCGGCTCAGGCCTTATATGCAGAGGAAGTGACTTCGCCTGAATGAGGTTGACCTACAGTTTGGAATGCTTTGACTTACATGCAGCCTTATTCATGTATGTACTTTCGGAATGGAATCTGAATCTATAAGGAAGTGTCTTGCGATTGCTTTTACCCATTTTTCGTCAGGGATGAAAGATCTAAAATTCTCCTGGATGAAATCTGCTCTTTAAGTTCAATTCCTTCTGTCATGTTCCTTTTCTGTCACAACTAATCACCCCGATGAGGTAAAAGGTGCTTTTGTGGTGGTATTGCTCTTTTACTATATACTATACAAGATAGCCTTTTGCTGAGATCAAAATTTATGGCAGGTGACGGTTGAATAAAATGGCATAAATGCTTAGCAGTGTAGCCATGAAAAAAGCAAAACATTGTTACGTTTCCGAAGAATTGCGACCTTGAAGCGCGATGATTCGTCATCCATTTGCCCATGTAAAGAGGAGGTGCCCTTGATGATTGCCAAGTCACGCCCTCTTGCAAGGTGAAAAAGGATCCGTGGAGACGTGTTGCAATAGTTCTTGAGGGGAATTGGCTTGAAAATAGAAAGAAAACCCCTCTGGAGAGCAACATATTGGCATTTTGCAGGAGCGGGAATCGAATCCCACGTGGGGGGGAATGAAGTTTTCATGTCTGTATATAGGCGTATACACGAGCATGGTTAATGGATGAGGCTGCACCAATCGATACGGGAGGGGNTTCCGTTCATGTGCGGTTTCAGTTGTCACCAGGAGTTTATTCTCTCCTTGACTCGTGTATCGTCACATGTATTCTTCATTCTTCAAAGGACTTGGGTTGGTGGAGGGAAAAGGTGAAGGAAGAAGGAGGAGCATGTTTCCCTGTTCCTTACTTCCTTCCTTTCAGATCACCAAGTCCCTTCAGCACCTCCGCGCCAAGAAAGTACAATATAGCCTACCTGGATATGGATGAAGAGACCAGACTTCAAGTTCGGCGAAATTCGAAATGCGTTGCCTCTATAACACCAAGATATGCGTCGTCACAAGAGCATGCTATTTCGAACATTTTCAAAACATTTCAAAACGAATATTTTCGAACAAAATAATTTACACAAAATTAATCATTTCTGAATAAAACTTGGAAGAAGTTGTGTTGGCCTCGTTTTCTGCATGGCACCAAGGTAAAAAGTAAAAATAAATAACTATCCAGTCGGGATAAATCAGGGACATGAGGTGCTCACTCAATAAGATTTACTTTTCTGTCATTCCACTTATAATGGAATGTTTCATTTCAATAGGCTGATCGCTATGATCATCCTCCTGCATTTGGGTTCTAGAAAAAGCAGGATTTCAGAAACTATATTTCAAACACCCACTATAATAATTTTGAATTCAATATGTTTGCAACTTCTAAGTTTCGTTTTTGAATGTAGAATTATACTTTCTAAAGTAACAAACTGGAAAACGTATAAGTAACTTTATGGACTTTTTGTAAATGTATATGCAATGTAACCGTGCTCTTTCTCTGCAGGTGGCTTGCAGTACTGAGAAAGTTCGATTTTTTCGTAAATACGGGTAGTTACATTTCACATTTCAATTACATCTCACATGGTTGGTCCACTTAAAGATCATGAACTAAACCTCAAAATCCCTCTGATTGAGTGACATATACCAGATCGATTGAATTCACTCTGACTTGGTTTCATAATGAGTTTCATAATTGAAGATCCGTTAAACTGGGGATGGGGAGATTTACTCTCCTCACAGAACCCTATTTAGAATACAGTTTTAATGAAACTAATTTATTTTTATTGCTCTAGAATCATGGGGCTTTTCCACTACTCCGAATCACTATCGAATGCAAGGGAATGCTTTTTTATTGCATGTGAATGCAATCATGATTACCCGACCTCTGACAACGGAGGCGAGACGTGAATCTGAAATGCAATCGCGGCACGTGACTCCTTTTTCCCAGTCGACTTGTATTTTTTTTTGCCTTTCTCTCTAAAGAGGCAAGGCTCTCGCTCAGTTTCAGGGTTAGTATGCTGTGTCTATCGAGATTAGAAGTAATTTCTGCTTTAGTCATGAAGTGACTGGGATGTTAAATTGGAACCTTATTGCATCCTTAGGTATGGGGATGCTTTCGAATAATCGTGAACTTCATTTGCGTGTCTGGCGTGCAAACACGATGTGAATTGATAATAGGGTCGAAACGGAAGTGTCTCTCCTCTTTTATATCTCTTCTATCTTTTCCTCTATCTCTCTTTCTCATTGTCCTCTCTTGTATAGTAGCGCATGTATACAGAACAGTATGCTACCAGTCATATATAGGCATTGACTTCCCGGATATGATGACACTCTGAAAAGAACATTGATCTTCTCTCAAACGACTTGGAACAGTTTTTTCTCCCTG